CCAGGCAGCTGGCAGAAAGAGTTATCGTTACACAGATCATACTTTGTGTTTTGGGCCCAGAAGAGGGCTGAATCATCTAAGTCTATGCCTAAATTTTTGAGGAGCTTCACACCCCCTTTAACTCAAGCTTGCTGCGAAATAATTTACTGTGATTGAGATTAGACCATTGCTGGTTTTCCAGAAAGTTCTGTGAGCAGCTTTGTAAACAAATCCCACTCTCTCACTCCACCTCTGCCTCCATCTCCAACAACCCCTGATTTCTGTTCCTATCACCTTGCAAAACCAACACTGTCATTTAAGATGTCTAGCGTCTTTCCCTTGGCATCATGCTTTTGAGATCTTCTCTGAGGACCACATATATCACGGGTTACTTTTCATCCCTGAGGGACTTTTACTGTAGAAATGCCATCGTCAGCTTTGCTGTTCAGGGATTGATCTGGACGACTGTGAATCATGGCACCTGTATATCTTCCTGTTCTGGTCTCTGGGTCTCAGGTAAATGCTGACAGAGGAATCAGTGTGTCCAGCTTCTCAAGAGCCCCAGATCTTTGCAGCATCACCAAGAAGCACTGATGTCTTGAGGAGATGCAGAAATTGAAAACTTGCTTGGACTCCCCAGTGCATCTGAGTGATGAGTGATGGTTAGGATCTTAGATGCCCCATCTTGAGCAACTTGGGAGGAGACAGGGCCCTGGAGATGTTGAATTAGGAACTTCCAAACCTGGATATAACTCCCAAATGCCAGAGCTCAGTTCTAAGGTTAACCAGAGGAAGTTGAAGGATTGGGAAAATGGGGTGAGGGAAAGCTTGGGGATGAGGTCTTACTCCTCACAGGAACAAAGTGGGTATGTCAATCCCCACCTCTAAAACCTTTAAATGCCTACCCATGGCATACAGAAAGGACGTGAGTGTGACTCTGAGGAAACTGAGCTGAACCCTGAGGTGAGGACCTCAAAGCAGCCCTGACTTGAAGCAAGCAAGGGCAAGTGGCTGGAAGTAGGCTGTGATGGCCCACAGGCAACCTTCAAAACAGTCCATTCCAGAAGGCCTCATGCTCCCCACGGAAGTTCCTTGCATCTGAAGGGCAGTGGCCCTAGTTGACATCTACTTAGCACAGCTAACCCTGTGCAACAGGTTCCTGTCATTCCTGTCTCCAGGCACCTCCCATCCTCAGGCCTGGAGACAATTGAGTGTTATATATTGAGGGGATTAACTTTCACAGGACAAACCTGTCCCTGCGGAAGGCTGGGCCCTCCAGATGCTCCTGTTGGAGCCCAATCTGTCAGTTTCAGCTGCCTTGACAAAGTGCCTCAGACGTGTCTCCCGCAGTTCCAGGAAAACCTGAATCAGGGTGGTGGCAGTGGTGTGGTTCTGTGTGGAGGGTGGGGGTGTGTGTGCCTTGTCTAGGTTGTAGACTGCTGACGTCTCTTCATGTTCTTGTGGTAGAAATTGGGCAAGGAAGCCATTCTATCCCCTTCACAAGGACACTGGTCCCATCCTCCTCTCTAAGGCTCGGTCTTCTAAAAGCTCCCTTCAGAGGGCAGGATTTCAACAGCATTGGAAGGGGACACAAAAGATCAGTCCACATGGAGCCTGAATATAAATTTCTTTAATGAAAAATGTACTTCTGTGCTTCTAACTATAACCTCTTGAGGATAATGTAGCCAGCATGTCCTGCTTGCTGTGTGAGCATAGCCTGCTGGACACTCACCAGGGATCATCCCAGCAATGTTTAATCTTCATAATAGCAGGGGTTATTTCAGACCCTGGTCTAAAGATGAGAAAACTCAACTGTGAACACGATTCCAGTAGACACTGGTGAGAGTGCTTTCAGAGTAGTACTCCTGGACTGGAGAGCATGTGATCTGAGAGATGCTTATAGCAGGCAATACCAAGAAGACAAATGAACAAAACTCAGGCTTAAGCCACTTAAAGAAGACTGTTACACACATGTGTCCACTAGCCTGGTGTCTGGAGGGTGGTGCCGGTGGAATTTTTCTTTGTTTTTTTGGGAGATTGGTTGAGACAATCCTTCCTAATCATGATGCTTGATCCCACTCCATGAAAAAGCCAAATGCTTCTCTTCCCTGTTCCTCACTGTTAGAAACATCCTGATAGCTGAATCTTTTAACAAGTCCCAGTCACTTCACTGGTGAATTCCTAAGCATGGGGGCTCAGGAGCAGACTCTCACAGGACATAGCCTAAAAGTGACTACTTTCCGATCTTACAAGTGTTCCCAATAGACTTGGTCCCTTGTCTATTTTTCCAACCATATTCCACAGAACACACATGGCAATGCTGTGCCTGCCCCATGTCTGTTACCTACAAAGAATATTGTGAAGCCACTTGAGTTTACATGAATTTAACTGTAAGGATAACAGGGCTTGTTTTTTCCTGTACCTCTTAAATTATTTATATGATTTGGCAATTTTTCTATAGTGTCTTTTCTTGCTTAGATGTGACATTTTTATATATAAGACGGGAACATATCAAAGATGGCAAACATTCCTGTCCAATTCATGATAATTTCTTTGAATTTTCTCCGTTTTGAATTTCTCACTGTGTGTTGTGTGTGTGTGTGTGTGTGTGTGTGTGTGTGTGTGTGTGTGATGGCAGTTGAGAGACAACCTCAGAGGCCTGTATGCATGCAACGTGTTTGAGACAGAATCTCTTGATGTTTACTACTGAGCACTAGGTTAGCCGGCCCCAAAGATTCCAGTTATTCTTTTCTCTTCCCAACCCTTCCTGCCACTGGAGCAGTGGGACTGCAGACCCACACAGGGACTGATTCAAACTCAGGACCTTGTGCAGCAAGGAGCATCTCCTCTTCCCCTTCTTTGACTTGTTAATTATATTTTATGTAGACAATACAGCGTTGTCCATACCCTCCCGTGGACACTGGCATCATTTTGGTGCTGCCAGCTCTGCCTCTCACATCCATACTTCTTCCAAGGGCTTTTTTTCTAACTCAACTTGTCCACAAGTGGGAATCAGAGCACTCTATTCCTTCTCCTTTACGGGAAGAAGGCTGTGTTCCAGCAGCCACTGGATTTTCCTGAGTCACTAGAGAACACATCACAGAAGAAACCTGAGACAATGGATCATTCTCACCACTCCTGACCATCAGGGTCGACTTGGTTACCGACAGCCATCCAGGCTATGAAGAATTATCAATATCTGCTGGTGATTCATGAGGAGTGTGTGCCATAAACACAGACCATGAGCAAACTGTCATGCACAGAAGTGCAGGGCCATGCAGGGGATATCTGGACACTAACAGAAGTGGCTTTACTAGTAATTGGGCTGTGATAACAGGCATACTTTGGAGTTGTTCTAGGCAGGACTGGGTGGCATCCCAGGCATCAGGGACAATACAGTAGAAGGAGAGGACCAAGCCTCCGGAAGCTTAGGGTCAAGATCACAGTTGGTGAGTAGACAACTGGCTTTAGTCTCTGCTTCTCTCCTGGCTGTGACTACTGCTAGCTGCTGTGTCTCTTTAATTTCTCTCTACAAAATAAAAAGACAAAGCTGATGAAGCCCCACTGCAGGTCTCTGCTCAGCCTTGGAGTTTGGAGTCATATCCTGAAAGCTAAATAGTTGGCCCTCCCACCTTGCACCCTCCTTCCCAAGAGATCAGGCCTGGGAGGAGATGACATGTTTTCCAAGGGTTGGAGGGTATTCAAGTGGACACCTCATCTTGTAAGGTTGGTTTCCACTGTCTTGGGGTCAGAGCAGTGGACCTTTTCTTGTGGCTGGGCCCCTGGCACACTTTGATGGGTGGGTCATACCCCTCATATTTCTCATGCAGCCTCATCCAAGCCGGGGAAGCTGTCACACACCACAAATACCTTGGTGGGGGACGCAAGTGTATCCGTGAAGGAACAGTTAGGCATATTAGCAAGCCTAGCCTCAACCCCCAGATGTTTAAAGCCAGAGAGAAGGGCCCTGTGGCTGGCAGAGAGGGCTATGACCCACTGCCCTCCTAGCGGTAGACATTTAGAATCAGACTTTTAGTTTTATTCTAAGCCATAGGAAGGATTTCTGGACTCTTTTTTGTTTGTTTGTTTGTTTGTTTGTCGTTGACTCCCAGAGAGGTTTAACACCTTGGCTCAGCTGCCAGCCAGCCATCTTCGGTGCATTGCCGGTCCAGGTCACATAGTATCTTCCTTATTCATTGGATGAGTCTTACTCCATTAAGGATTTTAGTCCTTGATTGTGTTTGTTGCAAACACCGCCAGAATATTACCTGCTTTTTCGAATAGCAGGGGTTTTCTGGCTAGCCAGGTGATATTTATTCTTGTTTCTCTAAATCTGGTCTGTGTCGTCGCGGCAATATTTCACATCCCTGGACATTTCTTTATCTCCGGGCGGGGGCTGGCAATCAGCCGGCCCCTCAAAGGATAGGTAGTGGTGGGAGGACCCCGGGTTGGGCCACCACGCTGGGGACGCTCCTGGCTATGGATCAGGACACAGAAGTCAAAAGTCTCTCTAGCCGGGAAGAAGACCAAGGCTCAGCAGAAAGCCGTGGCCACCACGAAAGAGGCCAAGTTCCACACCTGGCTCAGAAGTGGAAACTGGGCATGGCCTGGGCAAGCGAGCTGAAGGGCGAAGGTCCAGAGCCCTGCGTTGGAGCCCCACCCTGGAGCCCCGCCCATTAGGGCCCACCCCTTCGAACAGAGTGTTCTGAACTCCCCGCACCTTCTGGCTCTGCCAGTGCCCTCCCTCCTCTGAAGTCATTGGTTGATTCTCAGTCCCCCCCCCCGGAAGGGCTGCCTATCACAGCCAATCGACGAGCGCGGCGGCGGTGGAGTCTGGGAGAGGGGTGCCCAGGCCTGGCACA